GCATATTTTTTTTATTTATTTATTAGGAATAAGTTATTTTAATAAGAACTTTGTTTTCATTTTTCTTGTCGCTAAATAGTCTTCTTGTCGCTAAAATATTCTTCTTGTCGCTTCTTGAAGTTTCTTGTCACTACTGAAAACCTTGAAATCCTAAATACATACAATGCCAACATTTAATGCTTTACCAATAAATACATTTAAATATTGTAATATCCCAAAATAGGAGGATGGAAGCATGTGTATCATCAGCAGACCATGTAGTATCCAGTTTTGATCCTAGACAGATGGTTGACAGAGCTGCAGAAGACGAGAAGATAAAACAGTTTGCAAGTAAATTAGCTCAGGTATAACAACAAATAATTTAACAACACGCCCACCGGTTTTATTGGTAGATACACTATACATTCAAGTACAGCGCCCTCTAGCGACTCCTCTTGAGGTTTGAAATCATATTGTACAGATATCTTTATTATATTTAATTTTTAAACCTCAAAATGAAGTCTTGAGCAGAACTCGTGTCCATTACAAATAGGTATCATGGTGCTTACACATGGTGCATAGTTATAACATACACCAACTATTCTTGAAAAGTTAAAGGACTGACAAAATTGGACAGTAACATTTACAAATTCAAAAATATTAACAGCAAAAAATTAATCAAAATAATTATTTCTGTGCAAGACATTTTTGAAACAATATAACACACTTTAATACTTAAATACTACTCATATTATAATTAATTTTTATTAACAGTGAAAGCTTTATTTAATACTGCATTAGTGTTCTTAAATATTCAATGCAATATCAGTATTTTTTAAAAATTTTGCACTGCAGTACATATATATATATATATGCACCATGTGTAACCTTTTTAATTTACGACTTTAAACAACATTAATTCTTATTTCTAAAAAAAATAGTATAGAAAAGGTAACAATTTAGTTTGTGAAATTTATGCTTTGAATTTTTTTCAAGTTTATCATTGATAGGATTTTGCAATAAATTCACCAATTTCAAAACTAATTTAAAAGGTTTTTAAGACAGTTTATAAAAAAATGAAGTTCTGCTCCTGGCTTTAACAAAACACCACAAAGCCAGTAAAGGTAAAAGTTAAAATTATAAACAAAAAACAAAAAATATCAACAAATCCATTTTTTATTACTTACCAACTCTGAAAAAAATAGCATTAGAAGGAACACACCCTTAAACATTGTGTAAATTTTTCATATTTAATTATCTTTTTCAAATTTTTCACAACTTACTTTTAAGAAAATTCATCATATATAGAAATCATTAAAATGCCAAATTCACATAAAAATTATACATTATATCTTGTACCATTGTCCAGCAGATTCTCAGTTAATATTTTTCTTCAAATTCTTAAATCAACGATGTTATTTTTTTCCTGTAAAATATATATATAATTAATGCTTTGGTTAATTCAAGTGATTTTTTAAATAGATAAATCCTGAGGCCAGAGCACTAGAATTTCTACCCCATGAACCAGTAGATGTGGTACAGATGGACTATTCAGAGGCAATACAGGACTTGACAATTCCTACCAAGGCTAAGTATTTTAAAGATAAGTATGTATGTTTAATTGATAATGAAGAGGACATAGTTGAAAAATTTATGGCTACCTTATCATTCAGTTCAGAAGATGTGATGCTTATATCAAAGGCAACTCAGGGCCAGAGTAGCAACAATTTATGGTTCACTATGAGGAAAGGTTTAATTACTGCTTCTAACTTTCAGGCTATAATGAATAATGAGGACCCAGATCTTATTTGCAGCCGAATTATAGGTAGTGAATCACTTTCTGTAAAGAATAAGTTCCAAGAAATGGCCTTAGACTGGGGTAGACGCAAGGAATCAAAAGCCAGGAACCTATACCAAACAGCTCATGGATTGAAAAGGAATAAATGTATAACTGAAACTGGTTTGGTGGTAAATCCGAAGTATCCATGTATAGGTTGCAGTCCAGATGGAGTGATCACTTGTAAATGCCATGAGAGTAAGATTATTGAAATTAAGTGTCCGTTTTCACTAAGAAACAAATCTGCTAAATCTGTATTACACATGAAAACTAATTCTGATGGTCAAATTGATTTTTCTTCACAGTATTATTGTCAAGTGCAAGGACAAATGGGAATTATGGAGATGAGAAAGTGTGATTTGGTATTCTACACCAAACATGGAATAGAACATGTAGAAGTCAGCTTTGATGAAGATTTTTTTAACAGAATGCTGGTGAAACTGCAAAACTTCTTTACAGATTATATTGCACCATTTCTTCTAGAAATAGTGAGTAAAGACAACTAATAAAAATAAGTCTTCTAAAAATTGGTCAATGGGTACTTTAAATATTTTCTTATATATTTGAATCTATAAGTCATTACTAAATATTAGTTTGATATCTATTAAATTTTTTTCATTCCAAAATACTATACAACTCAAAATAATGGTTATTGGTACTTAAATAATTAATTTCAAGCAAAAGATTAATTTTCTTCTGGGTGGTGGGTTCACTTAGCTAGATGTATGAATTTATGTATTTTAGTATATTTTTAACAATTTTCAATAGATTTCTTCCAAATTTTTGAAAGCACTGACCAGTTTTCAGACTATGTGTGATTTCTACCTTGCCTAATTAAGAGTAATTCCTGCTTTTATAACAGTCTAGTATGTTAAATTTTCAATGGTAATTGTTTCATGCATATTCAGGAAGAACCATGTGCTTGTCCTGGCTTTGTCATCAACATCAAAAATTTCAAACTATATAAAACAAACAAATAGAACTGGAGAAATTTTCACTCACCAAAGGCTTTTTATTATAACCTATTACAACTGATATTCTACAATGATATTTTTAAAACCTTGTAAAAGATTGTAATTTTTAATACACCCATGTCTACTGATGATACTGCATACTGACATGAAGGGCATATGATACAGTTACAGGGGAGGTAATGACTTTGCTAACGTAAAATGTTATTTTTGCGACGTTAAACTGTGACATATCGGGAAAAGATGCAGATTCAACTGTTTTTTTTTTTATGATTTAAACTGACTTAAGGTAGCTAGGGTTTCTTCCTCCATCTTGTATTTTGAAATAGCAGATAACAATCGGTCTAGATCTTTAAAGAAATGTGCAAATTTCGAGAGTAGTATGTAATTCATGTGTAAGACTTTTCACGTTAATATAAAATATTATGTGTTTTATCATATTTACGGCTGTATTTTACAAAAAACAGAATATTTTTGTTTGATTCATTTTTTTTTCAACTTTGCCATATAAGGGGAGATAACTCAGATAAAGTAACTTTTATAATAGAATGTGTTGTGAATTTACCTATTTTATTATGTAGCAAGAAAACCAGTCCGGTGACCTCATTTTTTCTTTTTCTTATCTGAAAGCATATTATTAGAGCTATCTTCTCATATTTTATCTTAAAATTCTATGGTGTAGTTTTCTTTTTATCACACAAAATTGGGTTTTCCATGCATAATTTATACAAAATCTGAAAATTTTGCACTACCTGTAGCGTGAAAAAAGCCCGGTGACCCATACTTTTTATTATATTTTTGGAAAAAGCATGATATGAACTGCCTTTTGACAAATTATCAAAAAATTCTATGGATTTTAATTTAGACCCACTATCTACCTTAACTTGGAAATGAGTAGAAAGGCCCCTCTTTTTTACAATGGCATATTCATTCGGTTTGATTACGTATGAAGATTATTTGTACCAATTTAAATGAAAAGTCAACATTCATTTTTTTTTAGATTTGATAAATATACTGCAAAAAAATCCATTTTTTCCCTAATATCTGAATTAATTATTTCCAAGGAACTGTTGTACTTATTAAGAGCATATTTATTTAAAGATTTTCGTAATGTTTTACAAAAAGCTGCTATTGTTTATCTGGTTTTTGAGAAAATGTCTAAATTTTTACCCCTTTTGTCTCTTAAAGTAGCACATGAAGGTATATTTTTTTCTGACATATTTAAATTGCTTAGGTGAAAAATAGCTTGTATCCAAATCTTCATAAAACATTCATCATGGAATCAAAACTGTATCATATGCCCTTAAAACTAAGTTGTATTAATTTTGTTGTCGGTTTGATGCCTCATTGAGGTTTAACATGTGTCCCTTTTCATTCATGTTTATCTAATTATGTTTGTTGGGTTGATGCTTCATTTATGTTTACCCTGTTACATCCTTTAATTTACTGTCAAGCTTGTTCGGTTGGTGCCTTTTTTAATTAGCTAAGAATGTACCAAATTTACTTTTTGAATTAATCCTAAAATTTTTAAATCCAAGTAGATAAATCATAACGATTCAGATATACACACTTGACCCACTTAAATTAATATTGTTTAACCCTTTTGCCGACGAATGAAGGTTTAATAGTAAATATGAAATTTAACAAAATTAGTACACATTCCGACATATATTGAAAATTCAGCACATTTTTAATGATACCTATGCATTGTTCTATAAAACTGGATGTTAACTTTATTGTTTTCATTGGTTGCTTTCGCTCATAATTGTGTAATGTCCGGATCTGATAATTTTTTTCCTAAATCTTGTTTTTGGTAAATCAACAACTATACAGTGCCATACATGTATAGTTGGTTATATTTACTTCATTTGAATTGGTATTAACAACTGACTCATTGACAAATATAACACAGCTCATTAACTTCATATGCAATACTTTGTACTTATTCTAAAATACTGGTTTTTGTAAGTTTTGAGACAGTAAACCTCAAGTTTTGGTATGACTTAGGTGATTTAAGGTAGTTCAGGGGTATACCACAATCTTGAATAGTACAATCACAGTAAATAATCGGTCTTTTTTTTTGTTGCCCAAATTTGCAATTTATTGGTTACACTATTTTTTTTATATTAGGAAAACTTAGTTATGCATTTCATTAGCGAAAATATTTTAACAAATACCAAATGTTTGTGCTTTTAGAACTAATTATTCATATAGAGAAATTTTATTTTTTTACCCGTCAAAATTTTGACTGGGCGTATTATGGTATACAAATGTGCGGCTGTCTGGGGTAAACATGTCGCACCGTAACTTGAGAACGACTTATCCAAATTTCATGAAACTTAACAAAGTTGTTTCTTATGATGGTCAAACGATCTGTATACTTTTTGGTGAAAATCAGATTAAAACTGTTTATTTACTTGTAGCAAGAAAACAAGGTGACCCATACTTTTTATAATTTTTTTTAAAAGAGCATAGTAAAATCTTCATTTTGGCAAAGTATAAGAAAATTCTGTCATTTTTGTTCTATACCCCTGAACTACCTTAAAGTGTTTATTTGTACTGATATCACTTTCCACTAGTAATCTTATCAGAAAAAGGTTAGCTGGAGATTAAAGCAGAAATGTTTACCATCTAAGAGCACCTTTCTGATAGTGTTGAGGGTGTATTCTTAATAATGCTATTGTTTTTCAGGATAGGTAAGTATTTAAAAAAATGTTCTTGTTCTTTATTTGTTTAATTTTGTTTTAAACAAAGTGTTGTCTGTCCCCTCTGAACATGCAAATTTATTTGTCCATTGTGTCTTCAACTTGCAGAAATAGTGATAATCTTAACTGTTTTATTTAAGTGAGAGCTGTTTTTGGCCATGAAATACCTAAATTATATTTAAAGATGGTAAAAATGAAGAGGTCTTACTTCACAAGTTTAGACCGCAAGTTACACAAAGCACCACAAACAAAAATAATATCATCAAGGATGGGTTTAAGAGTAAGAGGCAATGTGCCCTGTAGTTGCTGAAAAGATTTGATATCTCCTATAGCTCGTTCTACATGGATTCGTGCATTTGCAATACGCCTTGTCCTTGTAACTGCTCTACTGCTCAGCTGTCTGCCATTTGCAAAAGGCGGAATTGCAAGAGTTGCACCCTTTAAAGCCAAGAGATCACTTATGGTGAATCCACGGTCAGCCATAACCTCATCGCCAAACTCCAACATTTCCAAGAACTCAGATGCTTGTGTAATCCTGCGGTCTGAAACTGCCCCTGACCACAACTTTGACAAGAAACAGAATGAACCACTTGGTGTTATACCTACCAGAAGTTTTAATGTATTATTATGCTTATAACTTGACCAAGTGATTCTCTGGGCAGAAGGTAATGAGGGTTTTTGAACAAAAAATTCAGTACAATCTATAACTACTCTGGTTTTAGGGAAATACTTAAAAGATTTTGGCATATTTTCCTTTATTTGTTCTTTAGTGGGCCACTTGATAAGAAAATCCAGTTCCTTCCGCAAAAACACAATCCATGTGGTAAAGATCCTGGAAACAGTTGAAGAACTTATACACAACATATCTGCTAAAACATCTGTGTCCAATCCCTTCCTCAGTCGTACAAGGCTCATCAGGTACTCTTCCCAAAGTTTTAACTCCCTTAATGCTCCCCTTTTCTGTTAAAAAAAATCCAAGAAAAGACTTTATACATCAATTGTCCAATAATGAGATTTGTTAATTTTGTATTGTTTATTACTTATTTTTGTTGATTTTCATCATTTTTCTGGCTTATGAGATTTAACATGTTAAAGCCAGGGGCAAAATATCTAATAAACATATGGAATATGGCATTCTAAATAATATTATTAAAAGCCCAACTGACATGTTTAAGATTACATGTACTATTTTCTGGAACTATTTCACACGGAATGTTAATTTAATCATAACATATGAGATGAATTTTTGTTTGTTTCCACAGAAAATTTCTGTAAATCATATAATATGGCTATTTTTCATAATTTTAATCTTTGCTTTTATCTGCCTTTCTAATTTAAAACAACCAGTTGACATGGTCCTTAGTCTTATATGTAATAATAGTAGGGTATGTTTACACGAGTTCTGCTCATGACTTGGCATAAAGATACACGTGATATTTTTTCAAATAAATTGTAATGTTCAGTAAACCCTGAAAACTGTTACTTTTCATCATTGGTAATTTATTTTAAAAAGTTATATAATGAATACCATTGTAAAAAATATTCAGTTGATTTGATCACAATTTCATGGTACCATCAGTAAGAACAAAAATCAGTTTTTACAAAATCATTATGCCAAGTCGCTAGGGGGCGCTGTTCCAACAGTGTATCCACTAATAAAACCAGTGGACGTTGTAAACAATGCTTGATATATAAAACTTTGATGCAAAACAAAAAATATTTATTGTTACATTTTTCATGTTTTTACAGGTAATAATGAAAACCTTGTAGGGGGATGTGAATCAATGAAGAGACACGTTTTTGAGAAATGACCATGTATTGATTTTTCATATAAAGTATTAACACTGGCCATTGCTTGAATAAGTGCTCAAAATCCATCAAAAAGAACAGATCTGTCAGAGGAAATCTTTCTATTGATGTCAAGGATTTGAATAAAATATAGGTAAGGTTTAAACTAAAGTGAATTATGAGACAGATAACTCACTTGTCCACTGACATCATTCTCTGTATCGTCGAAGCTGTCATCAACCCTAGATGACCCATACCAATACTTCATCCTAGAAGCCTTCAACTCTACATGACTAAAAACAAGTTTCAAGACATCCAGTGTCATTCCTGTAAATTTACAACAATGAGGCTGTAAAAAATGATAATGTGTTAATGCAACAATTTCAATTGATCTTAATTTTACATCTAAATTTGATTATAGTTAATCCTTTTTTTTTTAAATCTCTGAAAAATATTCGAAAAGTCTACATATATTAAATAGACCAATCTTTTTAAATTAAGAATAATACATGTACACCATGCTTTCATTCCAATCTTATATTTATAATACTGAGACCTCTTAAATACCTGTATAGGCTTTAGGCTTCTTTTCCACATCTAAAATAAATAACTGTCTTCTCATGGTCTTCAAGTTGACATTTGTACTGCTGTCAGAATAAGTTGGATGGTAAGTCTGAGATCCTGAATCTGCAATTTCAGTTCAAATATAAATACACATATAAATAACACTTCTTTCCTCTATCCAACCCTATATTTAAATTTTGAAAGGAATTTATTTGTTTTTTTCATGTTCTTGTCCAAAACCAATAAACCAAGAAAATGAGGTCATGGTCAGATGAACGCTGCCAATTGAAACATTGATTATTGGATTAAAAATAATTTTTCCAAATTTTATGCCCCCGCTGTAGCATATGGGGGCATTAAGTTTTACCCTTGTCCGTCAGTTTGTCCCCAAGTTGTTTTCCGTTAGAGCTCTAACTTTAGTTTGCCTCAACCAAAAATTATGAAACTTATACAAAATGCTTTTTACCACAAAACAAAGATCAAGTTTGAATTTTGGTGGTGTCACTTTAACTATTCTAGAGTTATGCCCCTTTACTAATGGAAAATTACATTCTGCAAATAGATCAAAGTAAAAAATCTCAAAATAACAATATAAAGTGATTGTTATTTTACTAGTTAAGTAAAAAACTAAAAAATCTCAAAATAAAACATTTGTTTCGAAGTACATTTTTGTACATTGTGGCTATACAAATTCACTGCAACAAGCATTCTGTGAGTATTGCATGGCAATACATAGTCCCCTACCGGTTAAAAATTCATTGTATTGGAACAAAATTCTAACCTGATCTATAACTTGTCATGGTGTAACCTATATAACAAATATCAAGTCAATATCTTCAAGCATGACGAAAAAAGTGTTGAAAACTGATTATGTAAGTGAATTTATTAAGTCCAAGGACCATAACTCTGCACAAAATCATTCGACCGGAACAAAATTCCAACTTGATCTGTAACTTGTCATGATAAAACTATATACCAATTTTCAAATCAATATCTTAAAGCATGACGGAAAAAAGTGCAGAAAACTGATTATTTTAGTGAATTTTCTAAGTCAAAGGACGATAACTCTGCACAAAATCATCAGACCGGAACAAAATTCGAACTTGATCTGTAACTTGTCATGATAAAACAATACACCAAATATCAAATCAATACCTTCAAGCATGAAGAAAAAAAGTGTGGAAAACTTATTTGCCGGACTGACGGACGTAGGGCAAACCTAAAATCCCCTTCGACTTCGTCGGAAGGGGACTAATAAGGAACACTCTAATATAAGACACTTATTAGATTATGATATGTTTAAATCCAGAAATAGAACAGTGCTGCACTACTTGATTTATTTCATTTGATTGCCAAGGTTGATGTATAAAATTTGTAACTTCACACCTTCCCACATATCCTCCAGTCCATTTATAAACATACAGCTCCTATGTCCAGTCATAAATATATTAATTTACCTGTTGTTTCCACATGTAGAGGAGTAGCAGTAAAGATAGTGGTGTCAATGTCATCTTGTACCTTCCCTTCGTCTCCAGGCCCTAGTTCAATCTCTGCTTCAAAATCTAAAATTATTTAATGAAATCCATTATCTATCATAAATTAATAAAATTATCTTCCCTTCATATTTAAAATGATTTTATTTTTTGAAATACACACTAAATGCTTTTTTTATACTTTCATCTATAAATTTAAAGTTTTAGATGATTTTGTTGTATATTGCAAGATATTTCATGTACTTGGTAAACTATTTTCTACATGTATTTAGCAAAAAAAAATATATTTTTGCAACTTGTCCAACACAGATGCTCAGAAAAAAAATCTACATTAAATTATGATTTCAGCCAGATAAATAATCTAAAGAAAACTTGTCAACAAAAAGAAAAAAGACACTTTTAATTATATTTGTTTATCTGGAGTTCACCTACCTATATACTAAATAAATTTACAGATTTTTACCAATTTGATTTGTCCAGGAATAGTCACATTCAAAACTAAATTTTACAAGGTGGATCCTAAATGGCGGGTAAAAAATGATAGTACTGACCATTATTTTTACTTTGTGTGATGTTATAGGATTAAACGCCTTTTTAAAGGAATTTATTGGTGTATAAACTTGACCAATTCACTCACAAACAATTAAAAGTCTGAAGGACTGTTATGATATGTTTGTGAGCGACTTGGTCCAGTTTATACACTAATAAATTCCTTTAAAAAGGCGTTTAATCCTTATAATTCTTTAAAATTGGAGATAAGGAATATATTTTTCCACACTCGTAACCTTTATCACACGTAAATTGTATATTTGTGTCCTTGAATAGGCCTGGCGTATGAATATATTTGTTGGTTAACGCAAAAATATGTACTCCACGAAATTTGCTATCTGATTAAAAATAAACTACAAAAACTCTTATTATCATTCCAACGAATGATTTTGTGTTTATTATTTAATTTAACGATTAACGTGCAGTGAAAATAATTTTGTTAATATCGGTGTTATTATAGCCGCCATCTTGTTTACATTGGTTACGAAAAGAAGTTTGGTCAACGTCGTCTATCGAAAAATTAACAACGTCAAGATCAACTACCGGAAGTCCTCTCGACCAATTATATCAATGTATTCCGTAATATGCAAATCATATAAGAATTATCAACTTATGAACTTCATGATATGGTTAAAAGATTTTCGATATTGTACTTTTTCATGATCAATTATTTAAAAAAAAATATAATCTGGAAAATTTCAAATACATACATGTAAGCAATAACAAAAAAAAAACATTCAAAATAACTGAAATAACAACCAATATGTTGTTGTTCAAGATAAAATATGAAATCTATAAAAATGAAGTTATTCCAACAAAATTATATGATTTTAAAAAGAGACTGTAATGTGCTGACAATTTTGATACAAATATGTTCGGAAATTGATAATATATCAATTGTAGCCTTTGTACGAGGTGTATAATTTACATTTTAAGATATATTGACTGAGGATGACGTTTTTCTAAATATACATGTTTTAAAAGATTTTACCTGGAACATGAACTATACAATAAGCGTGATCTAGGTCTATTGTTCTCTGATCAGCTGATTTTCCTGAAATTATGAAATGCTTTATTGTATCAAACATTACACATGCAAAAAATATACAGTTTATCATGTTGATAGACATTTTTCTTTTAACTGCACGCCACATCTACATGTAATATTTGACATGAATATAGGGAAATGTTGTGGATTTAAATATGTGCTTTTCACAACAGTCTGTACTGTTAACGACTAGTCTGATGCCCCAGACTAGTAATTAAGTTGTTGTTAAAGTTTGTTTAGACACATAGGGAAAATGTGGGAATATTGGTCTTTGAACTAGTAATCAGATAACATTTTGATGCAGACTGCACAACATGCTTAAGATATTTCTAACATACATGTACATACATTGTATCATGCATATATTTTCTGTTCGTGAATACTATATTTGGACAAACTGGTAGGTCTATATAAATGTACATAGAGTGAGATATACAATTTCTGTTTTATTTGTGTATGTCTTTGGGCGGGTTGAATTGCCTTTTTCATCAGTAAAGCAAATTTTTTGTGATTGGGCATTGTGGCAAGTCGTCATGGATTTTATTCTGCAACTATATGTATGCTATTTGGGCAGTCAATATTCATTGGCCTTATAGCCTTGTTCATACAAATTGACATTTCTATAAGATTGTAAGTTGAACAGTAAAATGTATAAAATATGAAACTGTTTTTTGACAGCGCCTGCATTATTTCACACAGCATTTCCTAGTACCATGAGTACATAAACATGTACAAATGCAGCACCTGAATGTTCAAGTTAAAAGTGTCATTGGTAGATATGTCAAGCATGTCAAATTTGAAACAAGGTAATATGTAAACATTATGAACCTTTATAAAGAAAATACAAGCATTATATTAAATTATATATACATTTCGTACCTGTTTTTTTCACCTTCCTACACACAAGGCTGGGACGGTCTATTGGTGCCCTTCTTTTCCGGTTCTGCAGCATGAAATTCTCCTTTTCAGCTTCACAGGCTCCTGCAGGAATAGGAACCGGATATTCCTCAGTCGGACCGTTTCCCCTTACAAAGTGAAGTGAACATATATAGCTGTATTTTGTCACTTTTTCCACGTTCAAGTCATGTCGTCCGCAAGCTCGTATCCATCTTTCACACTTCACTCTATTCCGTAATGGTTTTGGGAACGGAATAAAGTACACATCCTTCTCCGCGAGTCTCTCTGGGTACCTACTGTCACTCTTACAAACCCCGTACATGCAATTCTTGTTCACCATCGTCAATCTAAAATGCGTTTATTTACCCTGGTTACAATGGCGGATTTGGAAATTCTGCCCGCCTTTTGGTTCAGTCAATATAGATTTCGAAATTCCGAAGTTAGGTACTTCCGGTATGACTAATCACCAAACAATGTGCAAGTGGTCTATTGCAGTATGCACAATAAAGTTTCTATCCTCCTTAAGATAAATAATGTCGGGTTAGTTCGGTTTTTGGTGGAAAAGATAACAATTTCCTGATGTCTTTACCGTCATTACCCAAGGTTTCGATATGTTTGCCTACAGCTTCCGCTTGTAACATTTGCCAACAATATTTGATAGTTATGTGTGTTCAATGGTTTTGATTGAATGACATGAATCGTAAAATTCTCTATCTCCCTGTCTGTAGCTAAGGAAGCCGATATTTTGAATTCCGGAATATATTGACATGCAATTTCTCCAATAATAAGCAAAAAACTCACATTTTGCACCTATACATCTTCTATTATCAAAAATAAATACATTTTGAGGCGAACAGGAAGCAAGAAAACGCATAGTGTTTACGTTTGACATTGGAAGCATACCTCTGATGTCACCTAGTTTTGCCGCCAAATAAGATAACATCATTTTGCTGAATTTTCGTTTAATGAACATTTTACACTGACATCATGACTAAAATATAATGATTTTTTTTTATTTTGCATTAAAATAGAGATAACTGTATTGTATTTGAAGCTTTGCGGAATTCCATTGGTAGTTTTACTGTCGCAAATATCCGTTTATCTGTCTCCACTACGCGTCGTTAGGTAAACTTAATCTGAACTTTATTTGCGACAGTAGAATTACGGATGGACGTCCACAAAGCTTTAGATACAATACATGTATCTCTTAATTCATCCTTGCGATTAGCGAGTAGTAATCTTATAGCCTTGCCTTATTTCTTTTTTTTTTACAATATAGTTATAGTACATGAATAATGTAAAAGAGATGTGCCTTAGTTGTTTTTCCTTGTTAATATAAGGGGAATTGGTCGCCTAGTGATGCAAGTAGTTAATCTACTGTTTCAGAAGCATATCGACACTGAGGTTATAAGTTCTCCAAGGGCTCTCCAGCTACATCCACCAAAACATATTCAATAGTGCTGAAAGAGGCATCCAATACCATAAATTAATATATAGTCCAAACATGAACTAGCTCCTTTTCTATAATTTTTTTTTTTCTTTTTTTTTTTTTGTATGCATGTTGAAATAACAGAACTATTCTAGAGATATTTATGCAAAAGAATTACTTTGATTACTTTCAAAAATCTTTTCAATACACAGGCGAATTTTTTTAGTGACTAAACCAGAAACTGAATATTTGTTTATGAGGTTGTCCGTTTAACTGATCAATCACCACTACTTATTCAGTATTCTCTGGTGTTCTTTTTTCTTATTCGTAGAAGATGTAGACATTAACAAAGATACATAATTTATAGTCAAACCACACACGCGGAAAATTTGTTACTAAATCTACACATATTGTGTCACGTGAAATAGCACCAGGTAACAATACAATTCGATATCTGTCAGTTGTAACTTTTTTGCACTAAAGACTTAAGTGACATTTGATGATTTATCTTTGTTTATGAAACATGACGCCCGAAACAAAGACAATGCAGTTATTACAGGCAATGGTATACTAATTTATTATAGATACCAAGATTCAAATTGGGTAGCCAGAAGCGCGTGTCGTCTAATAAGGACTCATCAGCTCAAATAATTACGTTAAAAGGGCCAAATAAAGAACAAAGTTGAAGAGCATTGAGGACCCACAATTCTGAACGATGCGCCCCAAAACAGTAAGGTTACCTATTTCTTGGGTAAAAAATCCTTAGTATTTTGAAACAATTCAAAATTTCTTAACAGAAACTTTATATTTATGACCATACCAATGATAATATATGTCAACACAGAAGTGCTAACTACTGGGCCGGTAATACCCTTGGGATGGAAACCTGTACAAGCTGTTGACGCAATACTTGTAAAAAACACATCATAGATACCAGGATTCTAATAATGTACGCCACACAAGTGTTTTGTAAACAGAAAAAAAAATATCTGTGACGTTCGAAAAAAAAAATATATACAACGGCCAAATAAATAACGAAGCTGAAGAACTCGAGTCTTTTTTTTTTAGTGTATCTCTTACAGCTGAATCCTTTGATAATTTTATCTAAAATAGTATCTCGTGTTATTGTTTCTCATATTATGATGTTTTTCTTTGTCGTCAATCAGCTGTCGAATAACACTGACACGAAATAACTCAAAAAAAAACTTCAAATTTCAATGAAGCAAGAAAATCATATTAACCGACATGTTTTACCCTAAGCGATACCAGGTAGAGCGTGAAACGAATCTATCAAATTTGGCACTTTATCTAAATGGATCAGAGCTGCTTGGTCTTACATTTAGACGACGTTCAATAAATATACGAGTTTTAAGACATCAAGGATTGCGATGCTCTATCGTCTATCCACAATACATATGTTCTATTCAAACAGATAATGCATCTACAATATTAGTGTAATATGCAAAACATAATAATTTAAAATTCCTAACTAAAGACTTCAGAATTCCTAACAAAGATAGGAATTCCACATATACTTCTAGATCATTCACGAAAAAAGAAGATTCAAGAAATTACAAATCCGTCCTTCTCTATTTTGGTAATATTTCTATAACAAAAAGGACGATGAAAAAGTAAGTAACAAAATTATCGAACACCACGGAAATTTTAAAACGGAAAGTCCCTTGCCAAAAGCGAAAATTAAAAGCTGAAACACATCACACAAATAGAAAAATAAAAGCCATTTTTCCTGGCTTGGTACAGGTATTTCTTTGTGTAGAAAATGGATTAAACCTGGTTTTATAGCTAGCGAAACCTCTCACTTTTATGACAGTCGCATACAATTCGATTATATTGACAAAAATGTGTGAACGAAACAAACAGACATAATAAGAAAAAATGTCAAAAATGTTTTCTGTCTTTAATCGAATACTTAAACTTGATCACAGTTCCTTCTACAATATAAATGGGCTTCAGAAATAGTTGTATGCAGTATATTTATCCAACGATATCAATTAAATGTAATATTTTTACAATTTCTATACATTTACTGCAAAGTCTTAAATCACAGTCTTTAAAATTTAGAAAAAAAAGCGTTCCGAGGATGATATCATCAAAATGCAATTTTTTGTTTATCGACAACATATTTGCTAAAATTGGAAGAATGATATCCAAACAGAAAGTCGGTATCCAATTCATACTAGTTGTTCAACCTTACTTATCGAACTGTTTTTGTACTCATATAAATCAAAATTCATTCATCAATATGTTTAGCGTATATAGTCGAAGATAATGTTATTGCACGTTGTATCATTGTTTTTCTAAAGTTGTTACATTTTTTTTTTTACTACACTGCACTAGTTGTTATATTCTTATATACTGTTACAAAAGAAAAATCAATTTAAGCTATGGTGCGCTAACGTCATATTTATTTTTTATAAATTGAGAAGAAATACGAAAAGTAAGGGAAGTTAACTTAGGTCTCTGTCACTGCATGCTTTAAATTGTGATCTTCTAAATAGCAAAAACAAAATACTTCTAACGATAATATGCCAGTGCATTTACATGACATACAAACTATGAGGTTGCCTCATCGTTACAATATATCACCATATAAACGTTAAGTGTGGTTAAGTGTCGTGCTGAATCACTTAAACCACTAAAGTCATAAACTCGTCAGTTTCATCTTTAAACATGTCAATTGGGCCATACCAAATTAATTTCTAGTTCATCAGACTCTTTACTTTGAAAAAGGGTAGCGAGAGGGCGAAAAATTTTCATTTGTTTTTTTTTCCCCCGAAATTTGATTTTTGGCAGGCGAAATTTTTTTTTACTAGCGAGCGATTATATTTTTGAAACATTTCTTTTTTTCTTCATCTGTGAAAAGAATTTAAAGCAAGCGTGCAATTAGAAATTTTCATAGTTTTGGTGCTTGATTTCTAATATATCTCATATCCTAGTTCTTATTACCCTACTGTGCTTCTCAATTTGTTCTCTGACACCCAGTTTAATCTTTTCACAATATTTCAACGTATACAATGGTTAACTTGTAGCAAAACTTACAACTTTGTGTAGTCTGAGCAAATAAATATGAAAAAATTCAACTGCTTTGAACAGGCATGCATCCATGTTTAATGTAAGTTATAATTGATGCATTGTATGTTGTTTTAAATGAATGTATGCAAAGCATAAATGCATGTACATGTATAAAGCTTGTATATACAACCGTAGATATTTGTTAATACAACAAGCTGAAAATTATTGAAGAACTGTCCTTTAAAAAACAGAACAATATATACCATTCAAATGAACCAGTCAGATGCTATCTACTAACTTAACAAAATGAACATTTCAATACATTTCACTAAAGTCATTGATTTCCTGTAGAATTTAATGACAATCTCTGGTGGAAGTTTGTCTCATTGACAATCATACAAATTCTTATTTTTAGAAGATTTTCTAAATTGTAAAGAAGGATGTATGTGTCAAATTCAATTGCCTTATAAACATTCTTTTCAAGTTCCATGCTTTTAACTAATATACATAATTGTCAGATGAAACCAGCCTCTGGGTGTGGGATTTTCTTGATGTGTTGAAGACCCATTGGTGGCATTAGGCTTTTTTCTGCTATTTGAATGGGTTGCTGTCTCTTTGACACGTTCCCCGTCTCCATTCTCTTTGTTTTTATTATACCTTTGTAATGATACTAGCAAAAATAATTAAAAGATTAAACAAAATCAAGATTAAAAACTTTTATTCTAAAACAGATAAAAAAAAAAGTTTCATTTGCAGTGCCATTTCGACTATGTACCATCAGCTTTGGGATTCTCTTTTATTTTTATGCATGTTATTTCGTCATAATCTAAATCTTTCAATTCGGTGGCGTTGTTCCTTTGTCATTTGATCCTAATAGGTATACGGTGAATCATTCAAGGATATTACTACACTGCATGTGAGTCAAATAACTCACTTAAGTGAGACTCCCCTTAAGTGAAAGTTTTAGGTTGTTCCCCTGCTGTTTGAAACTTGGTG